GTTCATGGATTAGGAGTCTGCCCCAACTGGCCTCTTTCTACTCCCCGCCGTGTCCCTGGGAGGGCGAGGCAAGTTTAATACCCATTTTACAGAAGACAGGATGGGCCGGGCAGGGACCACATCAGCGCCGCCTCTCTGAGCTACCAGTTTCTGTCTGTGTCTCTGTCTCTCTGTTTTTCTCTCTTTCTTTTTCTCCTTCTCTCTCTCTCTTTTACTCCACTCCAGTCACACCACCTCCTCGCTCTTCCCCGTTCCCTACCGGGTATGTTCCCACCTCTGACCCTTTGCATTTGCTGTTCCCTCTACCAAGCACACTTTTCTCACAGAGTTTTGCCAGACTCTCTCCCTCCCTGTTCAAATGTCACCTCCTCAGAGAGGCCTTCCCTGACCTCCCTGCTTGAAAGAACACTTCCTTTCCCAAGACCCTGTGGGCCCTCATTCTGAATTGTCTTTACAGTATTTTTCACTCCCTGACGTTGTATTCTGTACTTGATTTTTCTTTATTTCGGCTGATCATTTTTATAGAATGTCATATCCGCCAGGTAAGGGATTTTTATTATATTAACGGATTTATCCCCAGACCCTAGAGCACCACTGGGAGAGGTGCTCAGGGGCACACTGTTGAATGAAGGAACCATGCTCCCCAGCCCCAGCTCACGTAGTTTGCACATAGCAGAGCTGGGATTTGGCTCCGGCCGGGTGACCTGGAGGCTGTGTTTGGCCCCCTCTGGGTTGATGTCTTTTATCTCTGCCCTCACTTCTACCCTAGGAGCTGGCCAAGAGGACCCCTGGCAAACACCCGGACCACCCTGCGGTCCAGAGCGCCCTGCAGGCCATGAAGACCGTCTGCTCCAACATCAACGAGACGAAGCGGCAGATGGAGAAGCTGGAGGCCCTGGAGCAGTTGCAGTCCCACATCGAAGGCTGGGAGGTGCGTCTGGGGCAGGAGGCGCCCTCGGGGCTGGCGAGGGGCCCGGGGAGCCTGCAGCTGCAGGCACAGACTGGAGCCTGGGCACCAGATTCAGCCTGTGGCGTATTTTGTTTGGCTTACATGGTGTTTATGAAAAAATCGTTTAAATTATTTTCTAATTAAGTCCACATAAAAATCTAGACTTCGAGTTTCTTTTGAAAAATCAATAACACTGGTCTCCCATTTCCCATGGCAACAGCCACCAGAACCTCCAGCTTTCCTCGGTCTGTCCCCACCGCTCATTACTCCCCAGCATGCTCCTTCACATGTCGCCCCACCCTCCTGGTAGGCCTTTGAGCTTTTGACATCAAGGTCAAGGGTGGAATTTAAGGGTCCACTCCAAGATAGAATTCTGGCTCAGACACTGCCTTGCTGGGTGACTTTAGGCAAATGTCTTAACTTCTCTGAACTTGAGTTTCTTCGTTGATACCTGGCACATAGTAGGTACTCGATACTTGATAGGTATTGATAGCACTTGAATTTCCCCATTGATAGTAGGTACTCAGTACATGATAGGTATTGATAGCACTATCATCATGATTATTTCGGGGTGAGATTCTTGAGATCTTCTGACTGTGTGTAATTTATTTATTTAAACCCCTACATCTTTCTTAGATTATTAGAGATTTTCTACAAATCTGTAGAAGGAAATGGGAAAGTCCGAATAAATAAAAAAATCAATACCAGAGTAAATACAGCTGGAATAGGAGATTAAGACTGAAGATGAAAGACTCTCGGACACAGATCGTCCTCTGAATCATCTGCCTTCTACTCTGGATTTTCTGGCACTTGCTCTGTTTGAGATTTCCACTTTTTTTCCCTGTGTGTTGGGGGGTCCCAAGTGTGACTCTGTATCGCTAAGGGTTTGAGGGTTTGGCTGCACATAGGAGAGAGACTCCTGTCCAGGGAAGAGGTGAAGGTTATGGGTTAGTGCTTGCCATGTCCTGCACCCTCCTTCCACCGGGCCGTCCTGCTTGGCCGAGACTGGAGAACAGAGAGCTGCGTTTCTCAGACCCTCCTTGTAGCTCCAGGTTGGGCTGTGATTGGCCAAGATCAGATCCAGCTGCTCGATATTTGGAAGGCGGAGTGGGATGGAGGCCACCCTTGTGCTGTTCTGCAGCGAAGCACAGCTGCGGTCGTGTTTGGCCTTCTGTGGCAGCATTGACAGAGGGCCTGGGCTCCAGCTTCCTGGCTCTCAGGAGGCAGGGCACGGGGCATCCTTTTTGGTGTTGGTGGTGTGTATCTAGCAGGACAGGGGGGCTTCGCAGCTGACGGTTGAAGCAATAGCTCCCGAGGGCCTGGATGCAGCCAGGTCTCCTTTTCCTGGAGAATCAGCTCAAGCAGGTGCTGTTCTGACTCTCCCTTTTCCTGACGGGGCAGAGGGAGTGGCCCCCTGGAGGGGCAGCTCTGTAGTGCTCCTGGTTTGCTGGGCGCCCTGGCCTGGATTCCTGGCTCTTCTAGCCCTGTAGTGATTGAGTAAGCCCCTCATTTCTTCCTGTGCAAAACACCTAGCTTTGTTTCTACTCCCTACAACTGAAAATTGCCCAATCCTCAGATGTCTCTTCGGATGTGTTCTCTAAGGACTCTTGTTTCGGCCTCATAATGTCAGAACTCTCATTTGGGTTCTTGCGATCCTCTTGGCCTTCCCCTCACGGTTCCAGGATGGCAGCGGCCCCAGGCGTTATGTGTCCAAAGCAGGAGGAGACAAGAGCATGGCCAGGGCAGTGAGAGGGAACTCTTCTCTCCAGTGGAGGAAAACCTTTCCCAGAAGCCCCAGAGAAACTTCCCCCTCATCTCATTTGCCGGAAGTGGGTCACATGGCCACTTTCAGCAAATGTGCTAACCTAAAAGCAAATATTAGTGCTGCGTTTAAGCATCTGTCTATTTGGGCTTAGAGATTCCTGGCAGCCAAGGTGAAAAGAGCAGGACACATTAGTTCCTTAACATTCATTGTTAAAAAAGGAAGAAGCAGAGCAGTTCTGGGAGGCAGAGAGTTTCCTGGCAACCAGCTAGAAAAGAAACTTCTCACACGGGCCCCTGGGCCCCTTTGGAAAGGGGATTGAGCAAGCAGTTTGGCAGCCACAGCAGAAATAATTTTCAAATGCCTTCTTCTGGGAAGGGCCCACAGAAATAGGAACTAAGGGTCTTTGGGGCCCTTTACGACCCCCCAAATATCTAGTCTGAGAATGGTGCTTACTGTTTTGGCAGCAGGAAATGAAGTAACCTAGAATAGGAATTGCAGGCAATCATCGAGCACGTGCCTCAGCACTGGAAGGGAGGTGTTGGTATTATCTCTGTTTTACAGATGAGGTGAGGCACCAGGATTTGGTTTTGAGGCTCAGGCTAGTTTGTCCTGCTCTCTTGGCTTTATTTCCCACTAGCTGTCTAATTTTAGTAATAATATCTCTGAAGTTATCTCCTGGTACCATTTTGAGGATAAAATGAAGTGTGGAATATGAACGTTCTTCGGAAAACGTAAAATGATTTTTCTAGAAAGTAGAAAGGTTTTTAAATACAGTTTGGTCCTCAAGATGACTTGTGAAAATAATATGTTCTAGATAGAAAAAACAACGTGTAACCGTGAAGCTATGCCGGTACAGTCTCAGGGGACAGTATGCTTTATTTAAGGTGTCATTCATGGCGAATGATAGTCATTGTAAATCCTTATTTCTGACACTCTTCTTGATAGTTTCTAATCTTTTTGTTTGACCCCTTGCCAATCTGATTAAATGGCTGTCATCTCTCTTTTGGAATATGGCTGGCAAGGGACTTCCTTTTGGAGGAGGAGGAGTCTTTTCTTGGCCGCTTTCTTGCTGTGTGCTTGGGCTTCATCATTAGTTTGATTTCTAATCTGTGTTTCTTTTGGCCCGATCTTTTGTAAGCCACTTGTCCTTTTTAGTTGCGAGACTGGTTTAGTGAAAACCAGATATGTTAATCCATAAATCCACTTTGCTAAGCACAGGGAAATGGCAGCATGCTGCACTATTGTGGAAGTGAGGAATGAGCCAGCTCCTCTGCGTGGAGGGATGCCTTTGCCTCCCTTTTCTCTCCTGAAAGGTCTGGACAATCCTCATCACCTGGGGATTCGAGGCGCGGATGCACACAAAGCACTCGGAATGGTGCTTTCTTTATTGACTCAGAGTAAACGCTCCACGAATGTCAGGAGGAGCCATGGCAGCAAAGCAGGATTTCTTCCTTAATGTTTTTTTAGATGAACAAGCGTCATACAGCTTTGGCTAGAGCTCACACCTGGCGTGGGCTGACCCGCCTGCAGGGGGACACTCTGGAGGCAAGCCCCACGCACTTTTGTGTGACGCTCACAGTAATAAAAAGAAATGCATGCTCTTAATAAGAGAGAAGCGGGCACACACATCTTGCTGGCTCTGGGAGCCCTGGTTTAAGAGCCCATTAACTCACTCCCCCGTGAGGGGGCAGAAGGAAACAGGACCAGGAAAGCATAAAACCTTTTTTTTTTTAACAAAGACCATAAATAGACGTTCTCATACATTTTTTCCTTCCTGCCCGGGCTGCCCTGTGCTCCCGGGGGTCTGTGGTCTCTCCTCTTCTAAGGCCCCTGCTCTTCACCAATAAGCGCACACAAAAATCTTTCAGGTGGACTTCTAAGAGGCCGCCCAGAGTGGCATAGGTTAGTGGGTAAGGCAGTGGGGCCACCTAGCTGGGTTCAGATCCCAGCTTGCTCACTTACTAGCCACGTGACGTTAAACAAATCGCTTTACTGCTCTGTGCTTCAGTTTCCTCATTTGTAACATGAGAGTCGTCTGGATTAACCAAGTTTGTGTAAGACACTTAGAACACTAGCTGGCACGTGGAAGCCCTGTGCCTGCTTCACTGTTACTACTTCAGCGGGGCTGAGTCTGCACTATCTGCAAGAGGTCGGTAGCCTTGCCTGGTGGACACCTTGGTGCTTGGCCCCTTCCCTGTGTGTCTGATCCTTAGCATCATCCTTGACCTGCATTCAAGGGGAGACCGAGGACCAGCTGGGTTTCTCAGCAAGGCTGGGGTGGAAGGGGTACCCCCTTTAGTGTCCTTGGCATCTCATATGCAGTGTGCTGGGTGGTCCTTGGCCAAGACCAGAGAGGCAGCTTCCCAGGTTAGGTACGCTTCCTTTCTCCTTTCTGTGATCCCCTGGCATTAGCAGAGGGGTCAGGTCTAGGCCTATGTGGCCTCGAGGTTCTGGGCCTTGAAGCTGGGCTAGGTACCAGATTCATATACAAACAGCTAAAATCATCCTGTGGAGCCTAAAGGGGCCGGTGGGTGGGCACTAGCGAGGCAAGGGGAGGAGATGGGGGAGGCACGTGGTCTTGAGGAGCTTCTAAACTGCCATCTGCTCTGAGTTGGTCCATGGGCCACTGATGGAGCCTCATGACCCAGGTAATCATACTCACCCTGTTTGCAAGGATGCTGGGGGCTCAGGAGGCTCTTTATCATGGGAGCCCCATGTTCTCATGCAGCGGGCTCATTACTTTGCTGGGTCACTGTGTGGGAATCAGGTATCTGCCTGTGGCTTGCAAGCTTCCAGGCTGTGATTTCTGGTGATGGGTGGATGGTCCTGTCCTGGGCCCCACAGCTCTTGACTGCAAAGCAGCTGGTTGCCCAGGACCCCAAGTGGGCTCCAGAGGGGTCTCTGGCATTGTTGGGTGAATGCTGCACCCAGCTGAGCCATGGGCACAGAGCAAACCAGCTCTAACAGCAGCAGAGGCAACTGTGGTGGGCATTCAGCAGACAGCCTAATTTCTGAGTTGCTGAAACCAGTTCCCCTTACTGGGTCTCAGAAATAATTGATCTCAGTGGGGTGCAAACCCCTTGTTGGCTTTGTGTGTTGAGTATTTGGGGAAGGAGATTCTGTGAACAGTTCTCCCTCTCTCAGCCTCAAGTTCCTGTCCAGGCAGAGACAGCGTCATGCCCCTTTGTTTCTCCTTTCACTGTAATCTGCAGGTCTGTTGAATGAAACTCCTCTAAAACGCTGCTTTTGCATCATATCCCTCAGGCCTCAGTGTCAGAGGCGCCCCACTGCCCACCTGCTGATGGGCCCTACATCCTTAGTTTAGTGTATTAAAGTATATGGTTGGTTGCTGTAAGGGAGACAGTGCCTTCAGTGAGATGAAAGTTTATTTCTTGGTAGCAGTGCAGACTGGGAGTCGGGCGGCTGTGCTCTATTCAGACCCAGGTTCCTTCCATCATCTGCTGCAGTGTATTTCTCCACCACTGTGGCTGTCTTCCAGCCTGTTCAAGAGGGAGGGGAGGAAGGGGTGGGGTGGGGTAGCAACTCTCCCTCAACGGAATGATGTGCAAGTGAGGCACACTGGCCATAATTTAGTCACATGATCACACCTGGTGCAAGGGATGCTGGGAAGTGGAGTCCGTGGCTGGGCAGCCAAATGCCAGCTAAAACTCCATTCTTATGACAGAAGAGGAGCAAGAATTTGGGGGACAGCCAGGGGACTGCCTTCGCTGCCCTCCTAGATCTGTTCCTAGCTTCCTCTTTAGCATTTTGTGATCTCTGCCTCTGCCTTGGTCCCCCGAGAGCCCCAGGCAGACCTGCATGGTCCCAGGCTCTGAGGACTCCTCCCAGTAGAGACCTTCCCCCAACCCCACCCTCAGCTGCTTTGTTTCAGCCTTCCTCCCGGGCCCGTCTCGCTCCTCCCTGATGCCTTTCTTGACCACACTGCCATGAACCTCATGGAGATTCAGTGAACTTCACGCACACTTAACGTTTCATTAGCCTGGATGAGCAGGTAGAATTTGGGAACTCTTCCCTTTTGTACTCATTATCTGTAGCTAGAGTGAGTGCTCTCAGAATCCTCCTCCTGATGGTGTTCACAATGCATTTGTCGCCTGCTCCACCGCATTCATTGAGTGCCTGCCATGTGCCAGAGAGTATTATAGGTGCCGGCAATACAGTGGCAAATATTTGATAAATAGTTGATAATGCTTCCTGTCCTTATGCAAGTGGCATTTCTGTGGGGAGATGGAATAATAAGACATAAATAAATAAAGAGGAAGGCCAAAAAAAACTCCAAAAAACAAAAAAACACCCCAAAACAAAAAAATCCTAAATTCAAAACAAGAACTGAACCAAAACAAAACCAGATGCTGCCAGGGGGAGCTAGGTGAGTCCTTTCACCTCCCTGAGCCCCAAGTTCCTCTTCTGTGAAATGGTCACCTCCATGTGCTCTCGTCGGCATTGGTCTTCCCCTCAACAGGTGGAGGCTGTTGATCAGACTGTTTCAGTTTTCTGTCTGCTGACAGCTTTGCCTGCAGTGGTGCAGTTAGATTTTTGGGTGTGAGGGAGGCAGTGGTGGGTTCTGGCTCTGGGAGGGAGGGGGATACCCCATAGGGTTCCGGATTTGCCAGCTCATTCACTGTACCCCCATCACTCACCCAGGGCTCCAACCTCACGGACATCTGTACCCAGCTCCTCTTGCAAGGGACTTTGTTAAAAATCTCTGCAGGCAACATCCAGGAGAGAGCCTTCTTCCTCTTTGACAACCTCCTTGTCTATTGCAAGCGGAAATCCAGGTGAGTTGCTGGGGGCGGGCTGCCTAGGTGGGCCAGGAGGCCGAGATGGTGTTGCACCCTGACAGTTTCTCAAGGTGACAACATAAGCTTAGTGATAAACCCCTCGGTTTCCTCGTCTGTAAAATAGGGTGAATTAGCGCATGCACTCCGAAGAGTCATTGGAAGAATAAATGTGTTAAGTGTGCCTGACACGTAGTAAGTGCACAAAGTAAGTTAGCTGCTGTTACTGTCGCTGTTAACTTACCTCCACACATGCTGGGATCCTATTTTGTGCAGTCCCACAGGTGCAGCACCTGGCACATAGTAGGTGCTTCAGCCACAGGCTCTTTCCTCCCTGTCCTTCTCATTAGAGGCCTCGGTCTTCTTTCACCATCCGGCAGTGGCTGGGTCGCATGTCTTTTTCTCATTTGATATTTTATTCCCGCCCAATCTGTTAGGTCCGTCTGTGTCTGTCTCATGCGCTCCTATCCCCACGTCAATACCCCATGCTCCTTCCTCCTTGCTTCCTGTGTGTTCTCACTGGGGCCATCCCGAGAGCCCTTCTTTGGCAATGCCAAGGTCACTGCCAGCATTCACCCCTACCCTTCCTCGCCACCCGCCCTGGGCTGTCTGAAGCAGGCACTTTTCCCAGAACTCTGGGGTTTAGAAAACAGAATGTCCCATGTCCCTGCAGGCCTCTGACCCGCTCCCAGCTTTGGCTGAGTTTGCTCAAGTTAGCTTCAGCTACCCCGGTGCAGACCCATCCTTCAGGGCGTGGTGGCACCTGTCGGAGCAATAGCAGCTGATTCTGATCTTGCTGGACTCCACGTGGGCCTTTTGGGGCTGACCTGTGGCCACCATGAGCCCTTTTAAGGCCATTCCCTCAGTTCTGCAAGTAGGCTGGGCAGGCAGAGGGAACGGGCACATCTGCCTCCTGAGAGGACCTGGCAGGTGG